CTGGTCCCAATACCAATCCTTGAGGAAAACAGTGCCAGTCATCGGAGGAAATGCCACTTGTTCATATTTATGGAAACATGTTGGGTATATGAAAGTAATCAGACTGCCTCAGGCTGTTAATCACAGAATTCAAGCAGGGTTGAAAGTTTTAGAACCATTACTTTGCACACTCTTCTCCAGCAGACCTGATACAACTGCCATCTGTCACTGAGAACTTAAGACCCCTCTCTCCCTTCATCTAGCTAGTTCCAGGCTCCACTTCAGATTGCTCAGGGCAGCCCAGATTCACCACTTTTTTTCCTCAGACTTGATTTTTCATCTTTGCAAGTCTGCAGCTGACTTACCTCTTCATTCAGCTTCCTTCCCTTTCTCAACCACAGGCTGCTCAACACCTGTCCTGGCTTCTTGTTCCAAAATTTCTTTGGAGCCTTCTCTCAGATGGTCAACCCCCCCATTTCTGCCCAAGCAAATGAATGTTCCCAGTTACTTTCCAGGCCATCCCACTCTCCCTTCCTGCTCTTCAATTTCCATCTTGATCCCATCTCTGCCTGTGCTCAATCTTTATCTCCCAATTGTCAGTTTTCTTTCTGTCTCATCTCTACACTTTTTTCTTCAGCCTCGAATTCTATGAATAAGTTTGTGCCTTTTCCTGCTACAATCCCTCCACACTTGAGTTACATTCTTTTATTGTTGCTGTTAGTCAAAGAAAGTATAGGATGCAAAGAAGAGAACTCCATGCCCTCTTAACATTGTAGCATACCCCAACCATTACTTATTTAGTTTCAGTCCTGCAGTCCTCAACTGAATCTTGCTTAGCAATCTGGAGAAGTGACCCATTCATAGTCAGACAGAGGTAAAGAGAGACTATTTGCTGTCTTATCAGAAGGGTGCTAAGCATCTACAAATCTTTGAGGCGAGCCCCAGGGACAACCACAGCCACTAGCAGAAGCAAGCAGAAGTTTCTAATGAAAAGGAGAAAATCTGATGGAGAGCATGTTCTAACCATCTGTATTCGAAGAAATAGGAGAAGGATGGTGCTTTCATTTTTATCCTCTACTAAAAGGTATGGAGACACTGCTTCTCTGAACAAACATTTTCAGGTATTGTATGACTTTTCCCTTCACTCTATTGTTGATTAAACTTATTGAAACTCTCCAGAATATGCATGTAAAACAAACTCACATGAAAAATTTTGGTCTTATAATTAAGTCTGACAAAGTTATAAGGAGCTGAAGATCAGGTCCTTTAAATGAGTAGTCAGGGCAGTCATAGTAAGTGAAGCTTACTCCAACTATAAACATGATCAGCCTTCACAAAAACTGTATGATTCCATTTAAAATACAGCAATTAATGGACGGCTTGCCTAAAGTCTACCTGATTCCAATATTGCATGATTTAAGTTATTTTAAGAGCAGAAGTTAACAAGTGAAAACTGACTACAAACTTCAAAAGATGACAAAAGAAAATTTAAGTGTCCCTCAAGATTAACACTTTATGATTTAACCAAAGAATGTAGCTACACATACATGACCCTAACAGTAAGTAGGCCTATGCTGGCCTGAGGCAAACTTAAAAGCTGCACCAACGCAACTTTGAAACACTTGCTCCTGGCAACAGCGGTACTTTCCCCAGCTTCCCAACTCCAGGTTACTTGGAAAGCACTTCACATTGTAAATAGTCAGCTACCCCTCCTCCTGTTGCAGAGAGTATTTAATTTAGTAACCAGTGAAATCACAATACAGCATCACTATTAAGAAGAAAATGTCTGTTATGTGGATATTGAGAACAAAAATGGTGCAAGATTGCCAATTGCTCTAAAATATAGCTATCTGTGCTTTCAAGACCTTTGAGACAAGTTTTCCTCAATATCGTAACTGCCCATTAAAAGAGACTCTCACATAGTTCCACATGTCTGAACCTATCTTTGAGGAACATGTGCCTCACAGTAGTCTGTTCATGGCTTTGATATCACAGAATGCTATTGTGAAGCCTTTGAAAAAGAAGTCAGATAATAGCATAGGATTCCCTCCACCCTTTACATCCTACCAAAAAGGCAAACATTTTTCAGCTGTGGTTGACATAATACATTTTTAAATCAAAAGAACTTGTTTACAAGTCATTAAACATAAGGTGAGATGACTTGTGTCTGCTTGAGAAATTGACCTCTAGACATATTAGCTGAACTAGGGAA